GTTTGTATTTCCTTTGCGTAGTTATGCATTGTTAATTTTCGGACATTTTAGGTTGTGCCGATCTGCCAGAGTTTCACGCCGCCCACGCCTGGCCAGTCAGTAGGCCGGGGTGATGTCATTCCCTACGTGGGCATGTTCTGGTTTCGCTTTTGGCGGTTTGGCCAATGGGTAGATGTGGTGGTTGACGACCGGCTGCCAATGAAGGCTAATCGTCTCGCCTACATGCACTCCTCGGATCACAGGGAATTTTGGTCCGCCCTACTAGAAAAGGCCTATGCAAAGTGAGTGTATCGATCTCCCAACACAATCTATACTGTGTACACAATGAATTGCCGTCAGCTAACTATTTGCTTGCTGAAGCCATCTCTACTCCTCCCATCTAATGCGTACAGTTTGTGGCAAAGTAGACTAACGCAGTGATACCTCCTGTCAGATGTCATTTTTTGGATTTCAGTAGTCATTTGCTCCTTCCCTCTAATCAGACACAGCGTCCTCTTGACACTTACCGAGAGGCAATATATTACTTTATACTATCTACTTACCGTTTTGTCAGTAGCACTGTTTGTCTATTTTAGGTTGGTCGGCTCCTACGAGGCCCTTCGCGGCGGAACCACCGCCGAGGCAATGGAGGACTTCACGGGTGGTATGACCGAGATCATCGACCTTGGTGAGAAGGCTCCGGAGAGTTTATTCTGCATAATGAGTCGTGCACAGACTCGTTTTTCGCTGATGGCCGCCGCCATTGACGCGCAACCCGACGAAGTGGAAGCGGATGGCCCCTTAGGCCTCATCCTAGGTCATGCGTATTCCATCACAGATGTCCGGGAGGTACGCCTGTTTCCTCTCGCACAGCTATTCGTTTGTGCACCTCGCCTAATTTCAACTACATTTCTCTTGACGTGATATACGTATTTGAGATGTTTAGACTGATTCCGACTAGCCAAGTAGGCTGGAGTCTAATCTTTGATGTACGTTAACAAGGATACCATACTTAAAGTGGCTGACTAATGCCACCGAGAGAGGACGAGAGAATACCTTGCGCCACATACTCTAGCGCATGTGGCCCTTGCCTTATCTGTGATCCATCCAGGACCGCCGTCCTCCTACTAGACCGGTCATTATTGTCCATTCGAAGTGTTAGGGCTCACCCTAATCGAATCAGCTGGCGACAAAGCTGATTTAAAAGCGCAAACATGCACGTAGCGAGCCGCGCTTACGGCAGGCTATCGATCGGCCTACACGCGGCGAACGCAGACTGGCATTCAATCAATCAATAATTTAAAATTTAAGCTGCCGCCAGCCGTTGAGTCAAAAGCCAATCGTGTTGCTACTCACGCCAGGGTAGTATCTGATTGGCCGATGGGCATAGCTTTACACGTGTTTGTTGCCCTTTAAATGTTGAACCAATTACGCTCAAAGACTTGTGCTTTTGTGCTCTTCTTGTCGTGTTCTTCCCTGGGGCCTCACACAAGAAGTAATTAGGTGGTGACATTTCGGCTTTGGCTGCCTTTACAACACGAACTGTCTATTTTTGTTCCATACATTTATTCGAGGACATTATGGCCTCCATTTCCTTAATCTCATTTCTTTTTTCCTTTTTGGCAAAACTTTCCTGTGGGGCCGCCTTAATATCTATTCCCTCTGCCCGGCTGCCTTACGTAATTTGTGGTTAACATTCAATTCTTGGTTAGCGACTGTAAATGAATATTTAATTGTGTTGGAAATGATCAAACAAATATTAAATTAAAGAAACTTATATTTGTTTCAATGTACAGTAGACACCAAAGATCATGCAAATTTTCGACATGTGCGAAAGACTGATACACTTTCGGTAATCGGCACTGACCCAGGTTGTGATACTGATTATCGTGTAGTCTATTCTGAAATTTATTCCGTCATAGTAGGATGCGGGCTTTTTAACGAGCTTCGTTCTGACTACCAGCAAAATATTGTCTATGATAAAAAGTGGCTACTTAAGTGGTATGCCTTTTTATCACTTATTTTGGCTGCCTTTATAAATTCAAATATATTGTGTGGAAAACATGGATAGAAAATTATTTTTTGTACTTGTTTGATAGAAAATTACGCGTTCTTTAAATTGTTATTTCTTGTACTTGTTTGATAGCAAATTACGCCTTCTTTAAATTTTATACATAAAGAAAGGGGAAACTTTCGGTTTTAAAAAAGTTGCTCAATTGCCGAATACTTTTCTAAC